CTTGCAATGCCGTCTCGCCAATGGGCGCCGAGCCTAAAAAGCTAACCGCCAATCCCGTCTACGGAAATTTATTTTGCTTTCTGTGATTGGTTAATATAAAGATATTGCGCAATAAATAGAACCATCATCTTCACTATTGAACAGCCTTGTTATCCCAGCTATAGATTTAATATAACACTCAGTCAATAATTTAAATAATGCATGAACCTTATACTAAGCACATTGGTTTCAATTATACGTGGAGAATTTATATAAATTTTCAAAGTGTACCAGGAAGAAACACAGACAATAAAATGTTATCGTATTTCATATGTTTGTTCCTTTCGAATTAACACTTTGAAGCCACCAAAAGGGAACGGGCAATGTTTTCTGCCTTTCCTTCCTATGTTTCCCTAACTAGTTAAGAGAGCTACTTTCCAATAAAATTCCGTCTACATGTTTTCCCTGATTTGTATGTTTCTTATATAAAACATTTTCCGATGTTCAAATGAGACTACAGTCATTTGTTTATAAATCTTTAAGACATTACAGCTGTGCTTACCAAGAGCTCGTCTTAGTTGGACTTTGCTAGACTTACATCAGTCTTTTGACACTGTAAAACGTAATATGACCTATATTCGCTTACAGCGCACACCTTTAGGAGTTCGCTAGTAACGCTTTCGAATCTTAAGCCATATTACAATCTACAATTTCTTGTGGTCAAACCACAAATACGTACAAATACTACATATCTTTAAAACCGTCCTGAATTGAACCTGTACATGCACCTAAACTCTATTAATATTTCGTCCCTATGCTGGTCAGTAGATTCAAACAGCTCAAGTATATAATAAGCGCCATTACACACTGGCCTCATGAATGATAAGTCATTAACCATCTAGAGGTGTTCAACATTATTAATTAAATCATGAGCAGTATAAGGTATGTTTTGCTTATATATTATAAGAATCACTAAAAGATCAGCAATTATTTTACGGGACTGTAGTCGAAGACAGAGTTAGTTTACTACGAACCTAGTTTTTGTGCATCGCATCATATACGTAGCTGCGAAAGTCTCACGCAAGAACCAACTATGATGACCAGGAATAGGCTGTTCCAAAGAGTAAATGTGAGAGTAGTATGACTAGACATGTCTACATAGTGTGACATAAAGTGGTTAAAACCACCAAATATGATTAAAGTTTTTTTTCGGATTCCGGAAATAGTTTGATTGCGTCGTAGCATAAAACTAGTCACCTATGAAGCTGAAATTGGATTTTAATGGCGCCAAGCTAAAAACTGCATTCGATAACTAATCTTTCACCAAATTAAACTTAAAATTTGCTTATAGCTCATTAAAATTTTTAATGAGCTATAAGCAAATAGCTTCTAACTAATGCGGATATTGCAGATATTTTTATATTCATGATACTTTTATATTACTATTTCCGGAATTCGAAAACGAATTAATATTTAGTAAGTAAGTAAATTATTTATTTCGGGTACAATTTTGCAACAATTCAAGGTGACATAATAGTAGTTTATACCCCGTATTTTAGATCACCAGCCCTTCACCTCCAGAAGATTTGGTCAGCATTTATAAATGTATGGAAACTATTGGAAACAATTATGCATAAAATAAAAAAGTTTTTTTTTATTATTTGGTGGTTTTAACTACTGTCACTACTTGTATCTATACGTAGACGTTTATCTACTCATTTGGAACAGTCTATTCCGACCACTGACGATGACATACACTTACGTAAGTCGCCGATAAACGTGTAACGCCGCTTGCATAAAACAAAGTCTTAAACTGGTATTGGCGTGGTAGCGAACTCTATCTTTGACCGTCCACAACCTGACAACAATGTCGGTAACCTTTCAAAAAGTGCCACAATATTGTCGACCTAGCAACACTTATTCAAGTCCGAACCAATCACAACTCTATGACTGTAGTCTTTAAGAATTACATACGCGTACACATCTAGACGATAATAAATACGAGAATACAATGCGCATGAGTGAGTACAAATCAGCGCAATTGATATCTGCATGTTCGCAGTAGGTCGCTTATTATCTATAATCATGATATTTGCGTCAAATTTATATTTATGGTCAAGCGCATTGTAGTTAAACTACGAACCTATTTAGGTAGTTAAAAATCGCCAGGGCATTATAGCACCTCAGTCATTGGAATACATAACACATCATTAAATTAATATACAAAAATTGAATTACGTCATGATAAGGTTTATTTCACATGACAATGAATAAATTAAGAACCAATGTCAAGAAATTATAGTAAACATTTTAGAAAAATAAATCTTGTGTGCTAATTATTGAACATACATCAAAAATCTCAGATGCATACTCGCATAGTATATAAAATTCGTTCATATCCACAGTTTTCATTTATGTAATAAATAAATGGATTTTTAGTGCCGATCGGCTTTTGTGTGGATGAATTACAAATATCATTTATCTTGAGATAGCTTCGTAGGTTCTGTAACTCTATAGCGTTCGTGATCAATTTAAAATTTGTTTTCTACTACTGCCCGTAAACAAATGACCACACAGCATCTTTACATTTACAACAATAAAACTTAAATAATACCATGAACTCTTATTACGATTCAGTTTAGGACCTAAAGTGAATCGTAGTGAGACAGCGCTACATGAAGTGTATATCACCATCCCGCTTTTTGTCGTTACGAACCTATACTAAACTGTAATAAGAGTTCATGGCAAGGCCCCAGAACCGGGCACTTGCTACTCAGAGTCACCGAGCGGCACAATTGAGAATCCTTGTGTTTAATGTCTGTATTTCATGTCCAAGCATAACAGCTCAATGATCACAATAGTGCATTGTGACATGTCAATGATCAATTATTCCAATACATCTGCGACACATCAGGCCCAACACTTCAACTTAATTTGGATCTCGTGCAGCGCAAAAGATAATTTTAATATTCGACACTTCATAACAAAAAAAAAACTATAATGCAGGGTTTCATCATTTTACATGGCACAATATTTAATTACAGCATGCAAAATTAAATACTGCTAAAGTTAATTACCGCATTATTTCTGCCCACTATTGTGAGTTATAATTGGACAGAGTATAACTAGAATCAGCGAAACGAGACCTACAACCCCCTGTAAGCGGTTGTTTTATATCCTATTTAGTTTCAGTTTCATTGCTAAGCAAAATCAGCGTATTTGATATTTTTCAAATGAAAAAAACTTTGGATGCAAATGCGTTAGTTATGACAAGGATTTGTGGTGAGAATGTGAAATTATTAAGCTGAATTTTGTCCCTATATTTAATTAATACACCACTAAGGTGTGAATATCACGCAGATAGCGATTATTAGCTATGATACTATAATGATATGAACGTATTTTTTCCCTAGATGGCTAGTTTAAGCAAAGATTTATTTTTCTAGAACCTTCTGATATGAAATATAAAGAAAAGACGATCATTAAGAAAAATTCATAATCAACATAGTAAACTAAAAATAAATAATGTCAGTAACATTCCTCTGGTGAGATAACAATCATTTGCGACGCAAACTTAGCTATTTACAATCACTTATATCTACTTATCACGCAATTGGTTATTTTACTTGACCACTTAATAGTGAATACTGAGCGTTTAAGCAAAAAAATACTTGGCAAAATGTGACGTAATCATGACTCGAGTCTTGTAATCTAGTATTGATAATAATTATAGTAAGAGTGATAATATATATACGTCCTATAAATCTACTATGTCTATTACACGAATAATCAATTACTATTGCGAGTACTGCGGAAAAATACGTCATCGAACATCCCTTTTTTGTTTTAATCAAAAAGTAGGAAGTGAAAACATTTTTTCATAGCACTTTTTTGTTTTTATAATGAACTGGAACTAACAGTTCTAATTAAGCAAATATCGTGCACGGTCTTCAAATCTTATATATTAAAAATAAGTATTTATTTTTAAACACTTTCCATTAACATTATAAATGAGAAAACTTGTCTAGGTAGATTAAGGTTTGTTATTAAAACACTTGAATCCACCGAAAAGTTAATTTAAATAGTATATAGCCTGGAATATACGAAGTCATAAGCATTAGCCAGTATATAATATAATATATATGTTAAATGGAAAAAGACAGACTCGGATTTCAGGATTTCATTGAGACTCCACTAAGGTTATATTGCAATTATTATTATGATATTTGTTATTCTTCTACAAACTAGTTGGAATGACAGTTGAGACTCAAAAGAGTGTCAGGTCAGTGGAACGGCAGCGATAGCATTTATTCATTCAATCACTTACGGTCGATGTTATCCTTGAAAGTGCTATGCATATCTTTAATTTGTATTTCTTATATGCCAAATAATGAGTGACTATGTCATCGACGTGGCACCGACTTGTCATTGAAGAATAGAATACCAAACATTGCAATAGCAGTTGAAAGTAGCAACTCAATGGTTGGCAACCAACTTTTTGCTGAATACCAATCGTTGAAAAAGCTGCCATTGACACTCTGTCGCCACGCAACTGAGATGATTTAAAATTAGCAAACTTGGTGCTCTGGAAACATCGAGTACATAACCAGAAATAGAGACGAATCCCTGTCATGCATGCCTGGCAACTCATCAGGCAAATGGGCCGTATATCACTATTAAATTTCAACTCTCGTTTGCACTGAAATTACAAATTAAAAAGCTGAAATAGTATAGCGCCAATAACTGACCTGTGTGTACGTCTCCGTATAGCCGTCTCTAGTCTCGCTCAAGTTAAACTGGTCAATTTGAAGTGAAATAATTGACGACACCCGTCAATTGTTTTGAATTTGGGCTGGCCAATCGGAGCGCAGTTGTCATAGTAATGATTTGGCAGAATAGTTTTCAAACAAATTAAATGACATTTCGTCTCTATTTCTGGTTATATACTCGATGTCTGGAAACAAACCTATTCATATATACATCGAAAAAAGATATATTTACAGAAAGTCGCACATGCAACGTATTTTCTTGTTATGATACGTCGTTTGTCAAGTTTCTACATAACGTTCACTGTTAAATAGTCAAGTAGTTCACTGCATGTAATGACTACCTATTTAATTAAATAACTCACTAACAGCTCACTGTCTGTTGACCACACTCGTTAAAGTCACTTTCTTCTCGATCTTTTGGCTTTGTGATGCTTGTGATATTATGTGAACTCATTGAATTGGGCTAAGGCCGTCTTTACTCTGCGAACAAAACACATGGTAAAAATTCTATTATCAAATGTATTATTAAAAAACAACAACAACAATTTATCACTTCCAAATCGATGAGCTGCAGGTTTATTTACACCTATGGTGGGATGATAATGGCAAAATAGTATTCATTCTACCCGTACTTTATCTGTCAATTATAATTCCCCAAACCATATAAGATAAGTCATTTAAAACAAAATGCGTCTGTTGTCATGGATTGGTAACAAAAAATACATTAAATATTAGTTGTTTCATTATTTTATTTACTCGTAGAAAAAGTGCAATCATTATATAATTAGGTCTTAAAATCTCGTACCTATTACTTAGGGCACCCGGCTAAGCCTCGTGGCCTAAACACGGTACTCCACTTTAAGAACCCTTATTATCCCTTTGAGTGCCAACGAACCAATATCGGCCCATAATAAATACCCCAGATTGCCACGTGCCCATATTGGGTTTTGAGGCCGTAAAATTTAAAATTTTTATTTTATTGAATTTTATTTCTATTTTTCTATTTTCGGCAAAAAAAATTATAGCTTTCCATATCTTTAGCAACAAAAAATAGCTTAAATCGTGATTTTAAATTCGGATGGATTCGCGGGTTATTTTCCCGCCATTTGTTCCTTCGTTTACAATTTTCCTTAGAGGATGGAAAAAATAAAGGAATTTCGGGGTTTCAAATTTCAGGGCGACAACTGAAAGGTTAATTACACAAAATAATAGTACAGACAAGAAAAAAATTGATGAGGTGTAGTAAATTCAGAACGCATCCGAAGACAAACTTTTTCTTTTAATTAAAGAAACTGATTTTTTATAGTTGAACTGTTTTTCATCTACCATTTTCCTCGCTATAGTAAGGTGAAAAGTTGTGTGTTTCGCTCGGCAACAAAGTTGTTTTGCGTCTCGTATCTTGAAACCCTCACTAGGCTCAGGATTCTATTTTTGAACCACAAGCGAAGCGAGTCTAAGGGTATGATCCTTAAGGGTATGACCCTTAGAATCCTTCGCCTGCTCAGCTTTCAATAGAAGCACTCGCGTCAAACAGCTTTTTGCAGCCTTGCATAACAAATAACTATATAAGTAACCTTATCATAATTTATATATTTACTTTATTGATGTGTAGTGTATTTATTTAAAACGCTTTCATTACAAGATATTCTTTCCTTGCCTTTCCAACTCTTAAATTTCTATCCTAAGCTTGCATGGAAGTCAGTTTCGCTCGTAAGCTACTAGCGTACGGCCGTGTCTTATCACCAATACTTATTAAATCGCGTAGTAAATTCCAGTGCTTCTCAAGTTTAAAAAAATGAATAGTTTTCAATGCATCGTTTGTACTGAGAAATTGATGGACGGAGCCCGGTGTACGGCATGCGGTGGTATGGTTCATTATCACTGTGGCGGGATCACGGAACTTGGATATTCAAGACTAGGCGAGAGGAGATCTTCGTGGCGTTGCCCTAAGTGTAAACAGGCCGGAAATCGCACTCCCTCCCCGAGTATCATACCAGCAAGTCGTCAACCTCCTTCTAATACTGACCAATCTACTACACCTGGTGGGGACTCTCTCATACTGAAGGAAATAGCACGATTAGCTGAAAAACTTGCGCCTCTTGAAGCTCTATCGCATGAGCTCAAGTCTCTAAGAGAGGAGATGAGCGGTATAAAGTCATCTGTGCTCGAGTTCACTAACACCATAAAGGAGTTGAACGCTAGGATCGGGGGGGTCGAGACACGATTGGCCAAAGTAGAGCAGTCAGCGGAGCAAATCCCTGATATTAAGCGGCGACTGGATGGGCTCGAGAATGACCTAGCTAGTAAGGAACAATGGTCTCGAATGAACAACGTAGAATTAAAAGGAGTAACCCAAACGAGAAATGAAAACTTAGTCCAATTGATTAGTATGTTGGGATCAAAAATTAACTATCCGGTGTCAAAAGACAAAATAAACTTTGTTACCCGAGTGCCCTCACGAGATCCGAACCAGGTTAAGCCTATCATAGTATGCTTTAATAACCGGTATGTGAAAGAAGATTTTATAGCTGCAGCCAGGATAATATCGAAAGAAACACATATTACACCTGCTGTTCTGGGGCTGCAGGGTAATCACAGGATCTTTGTAAACGATCACCTCACCACACATAACAAAATACTACTCTCAAACGCCAAAAGGGCTGCCAAAGAGAAGGGTTTCCGGTATGTTTGGGTGAAGCACGCCAAGATTTTCGTGCGCCGCGACGACCAATCTCCAATACTGACTATCAAGACCGAACGGGATTTATTGAAAGTTGTCTAACTGATAAGTTTTTAATTTTTAGGTTTTTTATAATATCACAACAAAACGACAGTTTGTGCATCGCTGGTCCAAAACGTGAGGATGTCGTTTTCCAATATCGACTGTGTCAATGCTTTAAAGTAAGTTTAGTCCATTGTTTGTTGCTTAATCACCGCTCGCTTAACAGCTTCACAAATCTATACGCTATTCCTCTACGCATTGAGCGCCTTTCTCCTTGCACGCACCAACTACGTAAATCACTGTTCATATTAATGGCTTTTTTCGCGCTATTGTATTGCATAGTTTTGCTTAACTCGATGGTAGAACGTGTTCTAGCACTGTGTCGAACTTGTTATTTTTGTGTGTATGTTTATTACTACCGCCGCATTGTTGACCAATTTATCAATTATATTATTTCATTGAATTCTATACATTTTAATCAATTAGTATTTACAATAACAATCATTAATGGCTAAACTTAATATATATTACCAAAATGCTCGTGGCCTGCGTACAAAAACTAATACATTCCTTAGGAATATTTGTATGCATAGGTATGACGTTGTACTTATAACTGAGACTTGGTTATTAGACGGTGTACATAACAGTGAGCTGTTTGACGACCGGTATCTGGTCTGGAGGCGTGACCGCAATTACGAGCAAACGTCGCAATCTCTGGGTGGTGGCGTACTCATCGCGGTGCGAAGAGACCTATCCGTGGTAGAAAACTGTCAGTGGCGCAGCTCTGCAGAGGATATTTGGGTGACGTTGACGTTAAAACATAATAGACCTACAGTTTCTTATAGAATACATTTGTGCACGGTATATATATGTAATGAAAAAGGTGGTAATTCATTGAAAACGCAGTTATTAAACTTTTCAAATAAAATATGTAACATTGTTGCGCATCAGCCGACTGATACCTACATTATAGCAGGAGACTTTAACTTGGCAGATAATATCACGTGGACGAAAGCTTGCGGTGAGTTGGAGCTTCGACCTTTAGATATTTCAAGTGACTACGTAAAGAACTTCATTGATACTATTGACACATGTAATTTTTCACAATATAATGGTGAGTATAACCTTAATAAGCGTATACTTGACCTAGTTTTCTCAAATAGCCCATTAAGTATTAATTCATGCCCCGATCCTTTAGTTCCAGAAGACAGTCACCATAAGTCACTAAATATTGTTGCAGAGTTTATTGAAATTCACACTATTATACAACAACCACAAGTGAAATTTTTATATCATCATGGTGATTACCAATCAATTTCATCTACTCTCAATAATATAAAATGGGATTCATACTTGAATGCACATTCTTTAGAAGAAGCAGTCAATCTCTTTTACTGTAAACTGTATGAGTGTCGAGACATGTATATACCTACTAAATTAATTAAAACTGGGTCTCATCCTCCTTGGTTTAATTCGGCCTTATTAAAAATTCTAAAAGAAAAATATAAATTTCACCGTAAATATAAAGTATATGGTAATATCTCGGATTATCACTCATTCACAGTGCTGCGTAGAAGAGCTATTGACTTTGAACAAAAATGTTTTGATAATTACTTGGATAAAATTCAGAAATCAATTGTTGACAACCCTAAACTATTTTGGTCATATGTGAAAAGTTTAAAATGCTCTAATTCCTATCCTGGTGTAATGAAGTATAATAACACTACTGCAGATTCAGGTGAAGCTATTTCCAATATGTTCGCAGACTTTTTCCATTCCACCTTTACAGCGCAAGATCCTTATCTAGGGTTACACAATCTACCTATCAGTGTAACTCATGGTGCCATTTCTATCAGTACAGTTGAGATTGTTCAATCTACAGTGCTTAAACTGCTAAAATCCCTTGATCTCTCTAAATCTGGTGGTCCTGATCACATTCCTCCTGTATTCATAGTAAAGTGTGCTGACAGCCTTGTAGTTCCGCTTTGTTTGCTTTACAAAAGATCTTTAAATGAAGGCATCGTTCCATCAATATGGAAATCTGCATTTATTACGCCTGTATATAAGAAGGGTGATAAATCACATATTGAAAATTATCGTCCGATCTCCAAGTTATGTCTTTTTGCAAAAATATTGGAAAGGCTGGTATTCAGTGATGTTTATGCGGTGTTGAATCGTACATTTAATGAACACCAACATGGCTTTTTAAGAAATAGGTCCACTGTCTCTAACTTAGTCATCGCCAATGAATTCATAACAAGAGGCATGGAGGGCCGTGCACAAGTTGATGCAGTTTACACTGACTACACTAAATGTTTTGACCGCATAGATCACAATGTGCTTCTGAACAAGTTGATGGTAGCAGGCATACATGGAGATTTATTGCGCTGGTTTGCTTCTTACGTAGCTAATAGGAGTCAGGCGGTCGTGTTGCGTGGCTTTATGTCAAGGTGGACATCAGTCCCGTCTGGTGTACCGCAGGGTTCTATCCTTGGACCTCTACTATTCATCATCTTCATCGACGACATTGGATCTTGTTTTATACACTCGAAGATCCTGCTCTTTGCTGATGACATGAAGGTGCTAAAAGTCATACGTGGGCAGACAGATGTTGACGATCTTCAGGCAGACTTAAGCAGATTTGAAGCCTACTGTACCATAAATAGGCTTGAACTTAATGTGTCCAAATGTTTTTACATGACATTCAGCCGTAAAACATCAACCATAGGCACTGGTTACAAATTACATGGCACCAACATATTGAGAGTCAGGGAAATGAGGGACTTGGGTGTACTCCATGACGACAAGCATATTGACTATGTAATAAGTAAGGCATCAAAGGCACTTGGATTCATTATTCGGACATCGGCGACGTTCAGTGATATCAAGTGCATTAAAATTCTTTATTGCTCTTTTGTACGGAGTCACCTTGAGTACGCTTCACAGGTCTGGAATCCATGCTATGAAAGCTATAAGTCTCGGTTGGAGGCAATTCAGCAGAGATTTTTACGTTATCTGGACTACAAAACTAAACAATTTTCATCAGGTTATGAGCATAGGTGTACTAGGTATCATTTTTTGCCGCTTCGTGTCCGTCGAGACATTAGTGACATCAGTTTACTGATGGGGATCGCCAACGGTAAGATTGATTGTCCGGAATTGTTGTCACACATAAACCTGCGCACAAACTTGTTACATTACAGATGTCGACCACCTCTGCAAGTGCCGTTTGCGAGCACTAATTATAGGCAAAATACGTACACGGTGCGTGCTTTGAGACTTTATAACAATGCGACAGTAAATCATTCTGAGTTTGATTTGTTTTGTTCAAGCATAGACACAGTCAGGCGTGAAATGACCAAACGTCACTTTGACACATCACGTGATTGGCGATGAATACACTGGTATGTTCGTTTAATTCTTAGACTCTTTTTCTTTTACCATCCTCTAAGGTTTAATTGTATATTAATAGTAATTTTTATTTTGTTTTTTTTTTTAAATGTATAACTTCGTTCTTTGTATTTTCCTGTAATCTCTTTTTGGCTTGCTAAGCACTGTATATTGTTTCATGTAGGTGGAAATTCGTAAATGGCATTGGATTACTCATATTTAAGTTTACTATAATTGTATTATTTGTCCGTGAATTTTCCTAAAATGTATAAATAAAATAAATAAAAAAATAAAAATAAGAAATGGCTACTTAGCAATAAGACTGCCTGTTATAAATTAGCTTACTCTGTGATTACTGTTCTGTGTTGTCATTGTAATTTTAATATGCCATAAAGAATATATCATTCATTCATTCATTCATTCGCCCATTCATTCAACTACTGTATATGAGAACAAGCAAAAGGCAAGCTGCAGCGGCGATAGGTACCGGTCGTGCAGGTGCGCGGCGCTCTGGCTGGCGCGCAGCAGCTTGAGCGCGCGCAGCACTCCCAGCTCGGCCAGACGCGCCTGTCGCGCCGCGAAGCCCGCCTCGCCGCGTCGCGACAGGTTGCCGCACACGAACAGGGCCGCCTCCTGCAGCTTGCTCTCGGGGTGCGCCTGGCATACACGACTCGTCTTCACTCTTAAGCCCCCATACACGGGACGAATTGTCTACACGGTCCGTCGTTTCAGAGTGATCGAAACGACGAATCGATCGTGTGTTTTTATGTCGACTACGAAATACGGGTAGACGATAGACCGAAACGAGAATTTTTTTGTATATATGGGAGTCTCTAGGCTCAGTTTACATTGCCGATTTTTGTAACGTTGAACTTTATGTTAATAGTAACTAGATACGAACCAAAAACAGGTCGCACGCCTTCCAAAGTTCATCATTTAAAGTTTATTATACTGTGCACAATTTCGTTACAAAAATTCGCGACCTTTCCGTTTCGCGGCAATGTAGATTGAGCCTTAGTCTGACAAGCCAAAAAGATCGCAAGCGCCGTCTTCAAACTAGGGCGAACTTAGTAGTCTTCATTCAACAACGCTTTACGCGTGTGATTCATTCGCGTAATTTTCATTAGACTTGTCCCGAGCTTTATGCTGGACCTAGATAGATTTACTGTTTATTATCTATACCATTGATTTACAATAGTGTATGAGATCAAAGGAACGCATTCCGTCGTAACTCAGAATTATAAAGGAAAAAAGTTATACGTGGAGCCAGCTGTGGAGCTAGGTATTTCTAGCAATACGTTCATGTAACCTAAAGTTGGTAAGTATCAAATCAAAATTACAAAAAATCTTTTTTCAGACAACTTTTCTAATTATTTCTTTTATAACATCAAGTGACGGGGCGAACAAATCGTGCGCCTGATGGTAAGCTACACGCCTGTCAATAAAGAGCCTAAACGGCAAAGTTCTTAGGGGCACTGCCACTGCGCCCGTCACCCTGAGACATAAGTTGAAAAGTCCGATGTGCCTGTAATTTCACCAGCACCCTTGCCCTGCAAAACCGAAACGCAGTAATGCTCACTTTACTGCTTGGCGGCAGATATAGGTAAGGTGGCAGTACTTCCCTTGAAGAACACTTTCACAAGGAGCTCTATGGAAGTAAATGCGCAGTTTTATTTTTCCATAAAAAAAAATTTTTGTTCCTCTACATTTTTTCATTAATATGAATAACTTTAATATTACTTAAAATGATTTAATGATAGACTTACCAAATAATCAACGAGCTTCCGCAGCACGTCTTCGTTAGCCATTATCATATCTTTGGCTTTCTCTCCGTCGCCAATGTTGCCCAATATACACAGCGCTTGCTCCTTAACTTCAGCCGGGTACGAGCCTTCGAGGACCACAATCACAGCCTGTGAATCAATGGAAACAAAGTCATTAGCTAAAAAGTAAAAAAGATTCAGAAAAAATGTTTGTAACCACTGGCTTTTGTACTAAAGTGTACCTCACTAGATTTTTCGTGCGCCTGGTGGTAAACGACACGCCTGTCTAAAGCAGTTACAGTGCCACTCAGAGCTTTAAATAGGAAAGATCTGAGAAGCACTGCACTGCGCTCGTCACCCTGAGAAATAAGGTGACAAGTCCCATGTGCCTGTAATTTCTCCAGCACGCCTACCCTTTAGAACTGAAACGCAGCAATGCTCGTATTACTGCTTGGCAGCAGAGATAGATAAAGTGGCAGTAATTTCCTGGACGAACTGTTCACAAGGAGTTCTACTGCTACGATTATCTTTCCTATGTGCACTTATTTTGCTGTGTGTCATTGTGTGGTAGACTTTTTAGTATACAGGCTATCTCACGACTATGGAACACGGAGGGAATATACTTTAAATATTGTAGATAGGATATTTGGCTTCACGGACACATAATTTTATTTTTAATAATAATACTGCATTCAAAAACTTTTATCTATACTTTAACCTAACATTGACTTTTCGTACCACATCGCGCTTAATGTAAGCTTATTGTATGTTAAAACTATGATGTTTTATTGGCAGCTTTGTGACTATTCATTCACCCAGTTCGTACTATGACGTGACTTTAACATTAAAGTAATATTGCTCTTATGTCAAATTTAGCAATCTTAAAATAGTTACATGTATGCAATGAAAACAATATTATTTTCAGTTTTATTGTCTTAATATTGATTTGTAATGATTAAAAGTTAAGTCGAACTTATTTATTTACATATATCTCTCCAATATTTTGTTTATTTTTTATTTAATAGCACATAATAAATAACTTTTCATTAAATAAAATTACGCGATGTTTATTACGTAAAATTATAACACTGCCATCTATATGCTCCTTGGAACAGTTGATACTAGACTACAGTTCCGAATTCACAACGTGACTATTAAGACTCAGCTTATTTTATTTATTTTTCTTCATGAAAATGCCGAGTAATTATTAAAAACAACGTAATTTTAATAGATTTCATTATTACATACTTTTCTTTTCTCAACAGTCAAAATTCTCTGAATGTAAATAACATTAAGTACTTAAACATTATACTACGACAAGACGATTCGCAAAATCAAAAAAGAAAGAGATGGCATTATATAGTTCCCATTGCGTTATCTCTTTCCTATAGTACGGAATAGACAATATTGGGAAATTATTCGTTCTTTCAGTCACTTTAGCAATAATACATTACTTGGTTGGTAGGTTCGTCATGGTACGAATATGAGTAATATTATAATAAGCTTACTTTAAGCTTTCATCGAATTAAAATTGTTTTTGGAAAGGTTATGGTAGGCCCCCAGGTTCCAGCACGATGTTTTCCTTCATCGAAAAGCTCAGAAATAATTTAAAAATTAAAATATCCTGTCTACAATATTTAAATTACTTTCCCTCCATGTCTCATAGCCATGAGACACTCTGTGTACTAAAATATCGAACACACAGAGTCTACCACTCTGAGGGTCGTATTCTAGAACTCTACTCAATGCTTAAGTCAGGACTTGAGTATGATTCAAAGCACTAGAAATCATACTCAAGTCCCTGCCATTAGGGTCGTATTTCCAGTGCTTGTGTTGCCAGTGCAATCCTGTCTTGAGCATTGAATAGAGTTCTAGAATACGACCTTGAGAGAAGAGTCTCCTGATAACGAAAGCCAAGTTTATTATTTCATTTTTTGTTTATAAAATAAGTTTTTCTACTCTTGTTCTAATCTGTCAATTATAATTTCACAAACCATATCACAAAAGCGCTCTTTTTAGTTCTGAATCTAAATTATATTGTCTATGGTACTGAACTGGTTTCAAAAAAAAGAATGTCGTATAATTAAAATATCAAATATGACGCCACTCAAACATTCTTCTGCGTCCTGATTGGTTAAATTGGTCTAAAGCCGGGTCATAAACCTTTATTAAAAAAAATTCGTTAAAATCTAAGCGGTACTTGGCCACTTATATTCTATCTCTTTGGTTTCTTATTTTGTAGCGTTTGTTTGGCTTTCATTTGAGTTTGTTGTCATGGATTGTTAACAAAATACACATTAAATATTGGTTGTGTTCCATTATTTTACTTACTCGTAGAAAAAGTATTATATATAATCATTACTACATCATTAGGTTTATAAAATCTCGTATTTATTACTTAAACACGGTACTCGACTTTAAGAACCATCACATGCAACGATTGCATAATACACTATTACGTATGCTGGAATAGACATCACCTGCATAACTTGCGAGGAATATTCCCCCATAATCGCATCAATATGCTGTCTGGTGGACAGCAGGTTCCGCAACAGCCCCAACGTCTTCATAATAACTCGAGTGTCACTGTCACCGAGAAGACGAAACATCTGCTCCGTGCCCAGGCAGTTTAGAATGCGTTGCTTTACTTTTTGCTCGGCCTACGAAGAAAAGTATAGTTATAAATTAATATACAATCTTTAATTCAAGTAAATATATACCTTAAAATTATTTCACTAAGGATTCATATTCAATATCATCTTTATGTCATAAGTAAGCCACTTACACTTGAAATTGGTAAATTAATTAAACACTCATTCGTAAGGTAGATTCCCTGAGAATCAAATTAATTGTTTACAACATACATTATTTGAAAAAGCCATAGGTAGAAAGGAGCTGAAAGAACTACACGGAGCATTCTTTTATGTTATCAAAGTATGCAAAAGCGGTGTACCTTTTGTATAAAGTTTGTGTTTCACGATAGTTTTAAACCCCGCATACAAACTTAAATATCAACAGGAAGCTTATTGCAAAAGGTTTTCTTTTATTAAATCGAGATTTATGAACCGTGCTTCCCATTACCCTGCTTGATATTTAAAAAGTGGGTATATTAGACAAATATTTTTTTATATTATTTTCATAAATACATAATTCTTCTCGATTCAACACTACTCAAACCCATAAGATTCAATTTACCTGCTGGTTAATAAAAAATATTAACAGCGTACAAAATTAAATTTCTATATCATCACTTCCTCACGATGTTTCTCTTCGATGTCAGGGTATATAAAGGTCATAGGGCTGTCCAAAGAAGAATGTGTTATGACCACAATAAACTATAATTTGTAGTATGATCGTCTATGCTAATTCACGTCTAAGGCGCCGCGCAAGCTTAAATTATGTCTTCGGTTGGATACAAGCAACTGGCAACTAGAAGCGATAATTTTATTTTCATACAATTGATATGTAATCGACACAGTCGCCGGTTGCCGCAGCCGCAATTTATATGAAAATAGAACATTCGCGTCTAGTTGCTGGTTCCTTAACAAGACACACGCTTGCGCGGCGTATAAAGGCCCGTTTACATGACTATGGTTCACTAGAGACAATCAAGACCAAGAAATCAAGAAATCGCTGTGCAAGATTCGAAAATATGTTTATTATCTTTCACAAAAGAAACCTATATCGACTGTGAACTGGCGACCGGTAATATCTCAATTTTGACAACTTTACAGGATGAAGATATTTTATATAGCATCTGGTTTATTAAATATAAATACGTAGTATACATACACACATGTGTAATAAAAATATTTAAAAACTACGTATTTTTATTTAATAAACCAGATGCTATATAAATGATGCAAACAATTTTTTTCGTCACCTGTAAATTTGTCAAAATTAAGATAGTACCAATTGCCAGTTCACAGTCGATATACCAAAGGACATGATATTGAATATAGTTTCATTTGTGAAAAACACCAGACGGTGTTCATACAAGAATTAACCTGTGTTATAGAGCACCAGACTCTCACCCTTCCACCTCTAAGCATACGTAAGAAAGGTAAGCATAAGACAAAAGCATGCACGGTATTTTGTCACAAAGCACATGCACTCACAAAAGCGTACATGATTCGCGCACGTTTTTAAGCGGGAAAGCACACAGCGTGCAGACGAGTCTTTATGAGATACTAACTTATACAGTTACACAATAATTCACAAGGAGACGCTGCTGCCTGTATCCTGAATTCTATCACAGGAGCTAAATCATAGTAGTTATACTTACTGTCAAATCGCTTCTAAGTGACAGCTACAATTTCAAAACACATCCTGATCAAGGCACCAACTTACAAGCCTTATAATTAAATAGCTAAAACGTGTCTATTATTATAAGAATAGTGTTTTCATTCATAATGTATGGTTTCTATGGCTTTTTTTGCATTGGTAGGGTAAACTAAATAATCATTGGCACTTGCAAGAGAGAGTCCCTGTTTGTATACAAGTAATTTGTATTTTTATTACATGGTTTTGTTAACGGGTATGAAAGGTAGTCAAACAAGGATTATGTTACTAATTAAAACAAGTAACAATACTTGACGATTGTATTCAATAAAATATTACCAATAATTAAAATAGATATATAGATTTTCAGAGCTCTAACGATTAAGTTGGGAATGACTAAAAAAAATGATAATATCATTTGATACAATTTAACCAACTATAATGTTAGGACAATCAAAGTTTATGTCAAGTAAAAAGGACCCTTATGAGTAAGTGATGATAAGTCATAAGAAGCGGCCAACCGCTAAGGTGAAAGGCAGCCTGTAGCAAACATCGCACACGAAACCAAATACTGTCGTTACTCAAAATTGTGGAATTGAGAAAACACGATTTGAAAATTTTAAAAAAATAATTAAACCAATATATAGCACTACTGTTACAATGATGTTGTAACTCAAAATATGTGAAATTCAAGATTATACCATTGCTGAATGTAAAATTTGATCCTCTACACGTGAATAAAACCGTCGTTAGATTATTGTAAGAAACAATTAAAAGACATCTACTAAACTCAACATGAGACAAACTTTTTGTGAGCTAGTTCTGGCCAAAGCAGTCACTAAAAATATGAAATTATATTATCTCTTTTATTTTTAAATATATTTGGCAAATAGGAAATTGTTGAGATGTCTGTAACAAACTTTAACCTACCATAAATTTTAATAATCTTGCACGGGAAGTGAGTAATTTGTTTGTCCGTTCTGAAAAAATACACTTTTGAGTAATACACTTTGGTATTAAAAGTGCCATATTATATACTCGTTTATAAATGGATAATTCAGTGTTATGTATAAATAAAAATAATCTCATCATTAGCTCCATAAGGTTTATTCAGAATTTTTTTAAAGTTGTATTTCCTTAATTCCACAATTTTAAGTTACGACAGTATTTGATTTCATGTGCGACATATTCTGTCTTTCCGGCTCAGTGTAAGCTCAAAAGTTCAAAAGAAACGGTGATTTAAACGCAATACTGTTAAAACTTTTGACATGTAATTAATAGAAATAGCGATTTAAACTGCACCATAAAGCCAAAAAGACATGACATGATGATATCAAATGTGATAGGGCAATTTGTCGTCATGCACGGTAAGCATGCTTGGCTTTATCGTACTAATAAATAGCAAAACAAATAATTACCAGAATATAACAAAAACTCTACTGATGATAATAAACAAGTGTAAGAAAAAAGTTTTAAAATCGTGAAAAATATTGTTCCTCGAGGTTTATGCCCTACTCAGCTTACTACACGATCTATAGAAAATACTTTCGACTTACCTGAAACGCCATGTTCATTAAAGCCCAAATACCGTTCAGTCTCAAAGCCGCTTCTGGCCTTTTCGTTAAATTGCATAGCATTTCTACTGCACCTGGAAGGCAAAACATCAAATAAAGAACAGAACATAATACCGTCTCGTAATCAGAGCCAAATAATAAAAAGAAATTCCATCTTTAAAATATCGGTCTCCGAAACCTTAGTGTAGGGCAGAGGTATAGAGGATCGGAAAAAATAACTCTTATAGCGTTTTAGAGTGCATAAAGTTAACAGAAAATGCGCGCAGGTACGCTGGAATTACCAATTTTTTTTCTTCAGTTACCGATTTCAATGTTTTTATTTAATGCACACACTCTTAGCCCCGCACCATGAAAACCCCGTATCGCGGTTGCCATGGACACACATATAGACAACCACAAATTACACTCAACTCACGAGAGAAATAAATGTAGGCCTTATAAATATTTCTCCCAGCCCGGGATTCGAACCTGGGACCTCTGGGTGGCAATCCAGCGTGGTAACCGTTCGGCCACGGAGGCAGTTATATGTTTAAAAAGATATGTTGTTATACGGTAAGTTTTACGGGTACATTGCAAATTCACCCTTGTATGCATCCATTCTGCGTAAAATTTTCGACTCATGATTGGCAATTAAACTGTATTAATTATAAAATGTATAAGCGCCATTTTAAACAAATATTATTTTTCTGACAACATGTTATTTAGATTACCTATAGTGATTCAAAGTATTCTCAAACCTTGGTCTAACATGGGTTCCTTAGCGGGCGAGAACTCAAGCAGCAAATTGCAGAGTGTCGACGACCCCACGGTCAATAATTCGGCGTCAGGTGAGTCGTTCAAAAGCTGCATTAGGGGACGCCATACTGCATGATCCTGAAAGTTAGTTATTCATTTTAATATACGAAGTTATCGATGAACCCAACATTTTCAATATCGTCCGCAAAATTTGAACACCTCGTAACTCCGGTTTTGAACGAGATCCCTTTTTTACTCTTCAACCGCAATATCGGGCAATTAAAGCTTACAATATAATTTGTACACCTTGTTTTAGTAATAAAATAAAGGTATAATCATAGGTTGTTTGCTATATAATTTTTTCTAGTAATTTTCTTCTTTGTGCCTACTCAAAAGTTCATATTAATGGACGTTGCAAGGTTTTTGAATTTAGCCGACGATATCTAAGTCAGAAACCAACAATAGAAAATAGTGTGAGATCGCAGACAGCTAGTGTGAGATGCGGCCTGTATAGACGCTGGCCCTCTCCTATGTCCACAAAACAAGGGCGCTCATGAGCCCAAATATCCTCACCTCAGAAAGTGCTACACATTTACCTACCAACAAATGGACATCGGGTGAAATACAAAAACCACTAAAAATATCTCCAAAGTTAACCTATACAAACGTAGTGCATCTAACGAAATATAAAAAACTAAAACATGTACTGCCTAATTTTGCTTGCAACAATTTAAGGGCCTAAAAACACCATATTCAGCTTCTACTGGAAACTTAACAAAATGCACCATATTTAGCTTCGACTGAAAAATACTTGAACATTAGAGTAACGGAGTAGCCTTTCTCGTAAATATTAATTAATTTTTAAATATATATTATTATGTCGAATTTTGTACAAATTCACTTAAAGATATAATAAAGAGTTGGGCAGATACATACATACAAATATTACTGCAAATGTGAAAATAAGCTTGTACTATAAGAAATGCACCGATATTACAACTAAACGTAAACTCAAATATCCGTAATTCCGAAAACCGATTTATAATAAAGCTAAATATTTCAATTATAATATTTCAAGTAATTTTGATGCAACAAAACAAAAGCTAATTTTGGCTTTGTGACAACACAAAGTCAAAATTTGTTTTTGTTTTGTAATATTCCTAAAAAAATACATTTGACATTATGAAAATTCGAGCTAACGTTATTTCGGGCAAATGTATTTTCTGATTTCTGATAGGTAATCCCAAGCAATAAAACGAGTACACGACGAGTACGAGACACTTTTTAGCACGAACTCGACGTTCATTTGTTAGTAGGTCAACGGTGCTACAGCTTATATTTTTTGCATTGATTTGATTTTGTGGATTGACTTCTTGCGTTTTGACTTTTCTACTTATTTAAGTATCCGATTTAGGGGGACTAACCATTTTGCCAAATCTTTAGTCGCGGTTTGTATGTGGACCGTCACCCTGAGACATAAGTTGACAGGTGCCTGTAATTTCACCAGCACCCTTACACTTCAAAATCGGAACGCAGTAATGTTCACATTACTGGTTGGCGGCTGAAATAGGTGTGGTGGTAGTACTTCCCTGAACGAACTCTTTCACAATTCTTTTTCACGCTCTACTGCTACTAACAACTTAATAAATTAACTTAGTAAATTTCACAACACTTGTAGATTTATTTGGTTGGTAGAACATAGTCTTTAGACGTACCTTAACAACATTGGCATTGTTATTTTCAAATGTTTTAATTAGTTGCCATAAGTATAATGCGTTAAAAACCACAAAGCGAAATAAGCAAAAATTGTGTGATACAGACTTTACTGTTATTTTACTTTATGTTGTTTTTCATTCTGAAGAACTCGTGTTATAATTACTCCGAAACCACAATTTCAATAAAAAAAATTGTATTTGATATTGATCGTTCATTAGAAAGGAATGAATTATGGAAAGGCAATAATAGAAATATCGTATATTGATTTATAAAATCATAATAGTATATGCGAAGTCGTGGTAGCCTAATGGTTTGACCTACTGCCTCTCAAGCAGCGGGTCGTGGGTTCGAATCCGGGCTTACACCTCTGAGTTTCTATGTGCGAAACTTAATTTTAAATTGACGATGAGCTTTCCTGTGAAGGAAAATATCGTGAAGAAGATTTGAAGAAGATTCAGAAGCGTCGGAAAACGTGTGAAGTCCCCAACCCGCATTGGGCCAGAGTGCCCGACTACGGCCTAAACCCTCGTCTGAAAGGAGACTCGTGCCCAGCAGTAGGACGTATAAATGGGTTGATGATGATCCGATATAATAGACTTAAATGCAAAAAATATATACCAAACCATTTTCAAAATGCAATATATACGGAAACATAGAGACGCATTATGCATTTCTTAAGTTACCCATAGAGGACGTAAGGCTTATTATATTATATATGCATATATTATACATATATGCATTTATAGCACATATAAAAGCTATTCAAATATCTCACAAGCCCCAAACACGAAACTCTTTGTGCGTCTATTTTACAAATGTAACTTAAGTCCCCAGAGGAACGAATATCAAACCTCTGGATTGGTCACACTGTGCATGGGTGAATTTTTTCAAAAAACACTGATTCACCTGTTCAAATCTAACATATATAACGAACCAACCCGATTTTAAGTAAAATGCAATAATTAGGACAATAATAATACAATGCAATAAATAAAAACGTCATTTCATTTGTCTATTTCTCTGGGACTTGAATAAATTAATTAAATTTAAAAACAACGTTTTACTAAGTTTTATATTAATTTTGAATTCAATGTTGCCCAAAATTAAAAATGAAAATGACATAAATCAGTGTAGAATATAATGGCTGTTAGTTTTAATAAAAACTTACAGAAATTACCTGAAACGTCGTCCTCAGCTGTTGCACCGACCGGGAGAGCGAATGAAGACAGCGTACTGCCGCCAACCGTACCTATTAAAATTAAATTCTATTAAAATTATACCATTTAATCTTGCATTACACTATTCCTGTATTATACATATAAGAACATTAATTTGGGTCTGTCCAAATTTTTTTTTTTTATAATATAAGGTGACGGGACTGTCCATAACAGTTGCAGTGCCACTCAAGAGCTTGGAATCACAAAGATTTGAGGGGCACTGCCACCGCGCCTGTCGCCTTAATTCATAAGGTGACAAGTCTCTTATGCCTGTAATTTCACCAGCACCCTTACCCTTCAAAACCGAAACACAGTAATGCTTACATTACTGCTGGGCGGCAGAAATAGTAAAGGTAAGAAAGTCTACTAATACTATTAGAGAAGCAATCTAATAGACAGGCGCACTAATGTCAATTTCGAAAACAATCTATATTTAATATTCAAATTCGTTTATTTACTTCAGACGAAATTGTCCATAATAATACACATTGTTATTACTAATTATACTTTTTTATTATAATACTTAAATATGGCGTTACATAATTTCAATTTAATTCAATAAAGTCCAAACAAATTAAAATTAAATTAAATTAGTTCACATTATTGATATTTGAATTTAAAAAATCCTAAAATTCTGGCTGACCATTGCAGTAAAGCAACACTTTAATAAACACATTGATGTCAATTACATTGATTGCGGTGCAGGGTTCCACTTTACCTAGGCATTTTTTTAAATTTAATTTACTCAGAGGAAATGAAACTATTGTTCCGGATTTAAATCGCGTATATTTGTTTTTTCAAACAGATCGACGTTTCGGGCCCTTTATGGGTCCCATGGTCACGGTTGACTGACGCGGTACAATCTTCAACCAGATAGGTACCAGTTATATAACCTATGTATAACAATCGCGAAAACCTAAGAACTCGATAATTTACTCAGAGTTTCTTTTTCGGGTAATTGTACAGATAATTGGTGTCTGGCACATTACTACTGTTAATTATAATTATAACAACCACACCTTTTTGGAACCTGGTCTCAAACTAGAAAATCCCCTGTACTAAGTACCCAGAACACCCAGACCAGAATCTATATTTGACAATCGACTCATTTACCAAAACGGTAAACATGCAATATCAAATGTTAACTTACGCCAGCCTCCGGGTTATTCATTCCATTGACAATGTGCACCATGAGTCCGTGCGTCTCTATGATGCGTTTCCGAATGTCCTCGTCGTTGGCGCCGAGAGATGCGAAGCACCTGAACGCTCCCTGCTTTGCGGCGGCCGAGGGACAGTTCACGATGTCCGCGAGGGAACTCATCAGATGGTTTGATATGGCTGCAAGCCTTTGCAATGATGTATCCACCTTTGAACATCAAATATTACATTTATACTGTGCATGAGTTGTCCCTATCTACTGACCCGAGAGATAGGGAGTTCCAGGGAGACTACGGGCTTCCCGGAAGATCAAGGTACACCCTGCGTGCTGGCCAAGCCCGCCGCCAGTGATACGCCTGCACGGGCGTCTTCGGCATCACGGGACCCGGAATCGGGTATAGTATCGCCGGGGTTTGTGGTTAGCTGCAGGGATGAATCCGGCAGCATGTAGCCGGGGTGTTCATCCCACGCGCGGCTATCGCGTCCTAGTAGCGGTTTAGACGAGGGCGTAAGGCGAAGGAGTTGGAACTAGACATTCTCCGGTCCCTCCAGTCGCGTAGATTTCTGGGAACTGGAGAGACGCTTCGGCGTCGAGAGGGAGCGTGCCTACAACTCCGCCACCAAAGAGGAGATTTGGTTGTAGACTTTAGAGTCAACGGGAAGTGAGCATGCCTACAGCTCCGGTACCTATCTGGAAAATAGAGAGGGTACTGTACGTGCACCCGAGGCGTCTCACCCGAAGCACTAAAGCCCCTGAAGAACCGACGAAAAGAAAATACATAAAAGTGCAGATATTTTTGAAAATAGAAGTGGCCCGATTGAATTTTGAATTAAGCGTTTTGTATCTATTTTCCTTGAAGAGGTAGTGCATAATCTCAGTATAGAGTACTAAAAAAACCGACCTCAAAAGTTCGTGGAATTACATCTGTTTGTCAGTTTTTTTTAAATCGGTTACCGGAAAGTGCGCAAACCAGTATTCATCCCCTAGTTCGCCACTATATGGAACTTGACACAGGAGATAATAAAAATCGGTTCTCACTACTCAAAATATATTGAGAGAAAAACGCCTTGAATTAGAAAATAGCAAAATCAACCATTAAAATAATTGCTCCTCATAATATTAGGCGCTATTTATAAAAATGAATCTTCATGCGTGAACAGCCACTCTTAGAGGTGGATAATTTTTTTCAAAATTAAATGGGACCACTATGGAGGTACCCTCTTTCCAACAAAAAAGAATCATGAAAATCGGTGCACAAATACCGGAGTTATTGCGTAACATACATACAAAAAAATACAGTCGAAATGAGAACCTCCTCCTTTTTTTGAAGTCGGTGTAGCAATCCTAATGAAAGAAAATTAATTAGGGTTGCCACAGATCGCCGCAGCTAGACGACGCGATATTATATTGTATTAAATTTTTTCAAAGTGCGCGCGACGCGGAGCTGCGGTGCTTGATGCATTCTTTTTCTTCTTTGTATAAAAAAAAATGTAACCTTATGTGGTAAAAGATAAAGTTTGTGTTACATTGCCCGTTTTAATGCATCACAGCGTTGCGTCTCGACTGGATGCGGCAATTTATGGCCACCCTACAGCCCGTAATTCTCAAATACTTCGCTCTTATGTGCTTTCAGCCCGATGAAACAAGCAAGAAAACACGCGACTCGTGCAACACGTTGTTTCCGTAAGCAAGAACAATGTTTTTTACACGAACATATTTGAAAATATGAACAAAGACGACGATATTTTCTTGTTATTCACTCGTTTTGTAAATTTCGAAGTTTGGCTTCTACTTCGTATTCAAACTAAAATTGTATTTTTTATGTTTATTCAAATTCGTACTCAAAATAAACTCACCTCGGCCAAGTAAGCGAGAGTTTCAGCAGCGGCGGATCTTATATCCTCTGGCATTTCTTTGGTACAAAGTCGCGCAAGACACGGCAAAGCTCCGAAGACCACCCTGCAAATCCTCATAATCATCAGTAACACGTCTCACTACATACAAAGTTATCCTCTAAGAAAGTTTGAGCTATAGTCCGCCACATCAGTTGGGGGTTTTCCACGTTTTTCAAGGATTGTAAACCTTCTTGGATTTGCGAGGTTTCATCACGAAAAAAAAGCAACGAATTTTAAATTTTAATGTAAAAATTTTTAATTTGATTTTAAAATTTTTTATGTTAATTCAATTTTAATTAAAAAAAATATATTTCAAATTTAAATTTAAAAATTTAGTGTTAACTTTACGTTAAAAAATTTTGTGTTAATTTTTATTTAAACATTTTCGTCTTTTAATTTTGATTTAGTAATTAAACAAAGTAAGGGAGATATTTTTAAATCCAACTTTAGTATTAAACTCACTCCGTTAGCATATACTGTGGCTTAGTGTTCCATATTACATAGTCAATTGTATTTTTATGACCTATTTAACAAATATGAATAACAGTATTGTCTCATAGATACTCCTACCTGTTCACCCGAGGAGAAAAGTTAGAATTCACCTATTATCGTCGGCGGGTAGCGCTCCAGCTCTGTGTATGAAGGTGAGGCAACGCGCCGCGCCCATGGCCACCGGCAACGGCTTGTCCCGCGACACCAGATATGTTAGCAACTCTGGTATCGTTTTGTCACCATGTCTACAAAATATAAATTAGTAATTAAAAGCTTCGTTTAGGAGAAATTGTTAAGAAGAAGAATGAATAAGTTATTGATAGGAAATGAAACTATTTTTCCAGATCGCGTATATTTGTTTTTCAAATGAACCGATGTTTCGGGCCCTTTACAGGTCCTATGGTCACGGTTGACTGAGGTGGTACAGTCATCAACCAGTTACGTCTAATATTAATGCAAACCACCCTATTTTCACTATAGTTACAAAAGTTATTAATTAAATACCTTATTTTTAATTTTACAAAGAAAACATTCCAATTTGCGCTAATTTATGTTTTACAAATTATTTTATTGAATGAATTTTTATTAAGTTCAATTTATTATTAATTAATAATAGAAATTAGAATAATTTAAAACATATTAATTAGTATTGCAGTCTGATGTCTGTTTGGGATTTTTCATCAGAGGAAATACTTGATCCCAAACTGGTGGTGCGGAGAAACCGTCTTCCCTGTTGAAATTAGGATTTTTTAAATTTCAATGGCCTCTCGCAGCTTCCTGGGGTTAATCTTATTAGCTTATTACAAAATTTTTTCTTTTCTTTTTTTTTGATTCTTTCTGATTTTTTTGATTCTTTTTGATTCTTTTTTTTGAGCGGTAGATGTCGCTCAACGTTAAGAAATTAAGGAACTGACAGTTGTAGATATCAGTCCGGTATACGGAAGAAAGTATTTATGTCTCTGTGGTCCGGTTACATAGTAATTAGTCATTACAGTTTCTTTTAATATGATTTTATTTCCACACTTAGATAGCCCGTTATAATTATAATTTGAAAAACCTAACGAATTTATTTTATTGAACTGTATAATTAAGACATTTGAAGACACTAACGAATTATTTTAAGCACGATTTTGCTATTGTTCTTTATGTATTAAGTGTACAGTCAAGAACACATCAAGCTACTTGGGACCGTTCGTATAGCCAGGAGTGCAGGGTTGAATTTAATCTTAAACGTAAGTTTATTTGTACAGAGTAGTTTTGAATTTATGTGTTAAGTGTACAGTCCAGAGCACATTAAGCTCGAAATTTTGGATTTCGTACAGTTTTTATTCATGCCAAGCTTAATGTACCTTGACCGTGTACGACTTGTAATGAATGTAAACAGATAAAACAAAGATTAAATCTACCTATAATTAAATATCATTATTACTAACCATGCCAAAAATCTGCTACGTTATAGCTATCATTTGGCACTTAGAGCCGATAAAGTATCAAATGTGATATCGAAGATTGCGAAATATCGTATTTTTATACAACACCTTTATTGGAAGCCAATGCTTCTTAATCATTCGTCGAAACAGGTCAATATGAATCATCATCATTACTTCATTTCAAGGATCTGATAAAGACTGTGAGAATCGGATACAAGCACCGGAAGTCTGATCGCACACATATGTGTTTTTTAAATCGGCTCAAATAGCGAATGAAATTATTTACAATCAGCCGTGAGCATGGGTCCTGTAAAAGGCCCGAAATATTGGTTTGTTTGAAAAAATTTAGATCTGGAAAAAATAGTTTCAATTCGAATGTGTAACCTGTTTTTCCAGAGGTGCGTTATGTAAAGTAAAACACACATCTTCAAGATCAAGACCGCAAAATGTTGCTGTGGGTAGAAACTATTAATACTCAATATATTTATTGCATTCATATTGGTACATGTCTTAAAATTAAATAAATGAGCCTTTTATTAGGGATAACAATCAGAGCAGAGGTAAACCGAGGTTTTAATTATTAATTAGATATGTTATTTATCAAATAAGCACAATTATGTCACTTGAAAGTTTAAATTTAATTAGATTACAATAGCATAACTTTATGGTATATAATTAAGACTTATTTATTATAATATTATTCTTTTTATTTGTCATCAAAGTATTCATTTAAATTGTAATAGCATTTATTAATAAGATGTAATTTTAATTTATTTACAAACAGTGAATACTTTTCCTCGTTTTTAACACTGACATCGAGGTGGGGACTTGAGCTGTGTGTGTGTAGCTGAGATCGTGGCAAAAGCAATCTATTGCGTGGTCTAAAAGTGTGGTTGGGGCAGGTCGTCAATGTTGTCGTGATGAATGTGCACCGACCCCACGGCGCCGACTCAACCGGCGAGAGGTAAACCCGGGGGGTTTTAGTGGGGTAGGCCCTCCAGTATAGTATAAAAGTCGGGGTGTTGTTTAATAAATTCACAAATTTCTAAAATATGTATAGAAAACAAAGTAAAAATTTTAAATTGTTTAAAGTGCGGTCTGCAGCTATCGGTACCCATCAAATTATCCCCATATTTTCTGGATTGTAAATATTTCTCATGCATGCACACTATTTCCCCAAAGGATAATTCCGTAAATTAGGTGGGAATGAGAGTACCTAAGCATAATAAGCGGCCATTGCAGTTATTAGGTCATTCGTTTTCTTTATCTCCCTCAGTGTGTACGTGAAACTGGACAACTTTTTCTTAATTTAATCTTAATTTCCAGTTCACATACGTGTCTATATTTAAACCCAGCAAAGTGAAGCTATGTACTGTTTCTACAGGAGTGTTATTATATGTATATACTAAGTGTAGCGGAATTTTTTGCGGTGAGTGAAATTGCATAATTTTTGTTTTATTTAAATTTATATCCAAGTAATGGGTCAGACATCCAGTTTATGACCTCAGTGAAAACTTGGTGAATTTTTGCATTCACGTTGTCGCCGGTACCACATGATGTTAAAAGTGAAACATCGTCGGCAAACATGACACAGTGTTCAGAAACAGATTTAGATTAGGAAAAGTATCCAATCACGGTGCCCTGCGATATTGAACTTGTCATGTAATGCTGGTCAGATCTAACTTTACGTATTGTACATGTACTGTAGTCAAAAAATTCTATGTCAACATACTGAACTCGCTTTTGAAAATAAAATTGCTTATGATATATGTTACGTTCATTATATACCCACATTAAGAATGTTTATGTTACATTGTATTTACTGTAATACCATATAAATTAATCAAATTTTGGCTTATAATATGTTATTTTTGTTTTAAGTGTAGTGCCATCCTATTGTTTTTTTCTGTACGACCCAATGGTAGACTGGTAGAGAATGTCTTAGCCATTAAGTCCGCCATTTGCATTATATTATACTCAGCAAAAGTTAATTATAATAATAATAATAACGCATACACTCATAGCCCCGCACTAGGGAAACCCTGTGTCGCGGGTGCCATGAACACACACATAGACAACCACTAATTACACCCAAACTCACGAGACAAATAAATGTAGGCCATACAAATATTTCTCCCAGCCCGGGAATCGAACCCAACACCTCTGCGTGGCAGTCCAGCACGGTAACCGTTCGACCACGACGGTAGTTTGAAGTTGCAACTTACTATAAAGGAATTGATTTATCCGCTAAGACATCGCTTTAAACTTGTATAACACATACATACAACAACATAACATAATATTTTAATAGATATAGGAAATGAAACTATTTTTCCGGATTTAAATCGCCAGCCAGTAGGGTGGTTTGCATCAATATTAGACATAACTGGTTGAAAACGACTGTACCACCTCAGTCAACCGTGACCATGGGACCTGTAAAGGGCCCGAAACGTCGGTTTATTTGAAAAAACAAATATACGCGATTTAAATCCGGAAAATAGTTTCATTTCCTATGTGTAACAATCGCGAAAACCTAAGAACTCGATATTTTAATAGATAGTTAAGTACACAATGTTTAGAACTTCTCAATTTATCGTATTAACACGTACATATGCGTGCACGTGCACGTACGATAATGTACGTGTTAATACGATAAATTGAGATTTTTAAATCTCACTCACTACCAGTCGGTTGCACCAAGTACCAAGTATCTCACTCACTACGTAACGTTAAGGGAATATTAACCTTATATCTAAACTACTATTAAGATAAACTTTCAGATTGCAGTAGAGAACTGATGAACGAGAAAATCATATTATAAAATTCAATTCAAATTAAATGTTCTGGTATAGGTGACTGGAGGTTTACATAAACCATAGATCTAAAATATGAACATTTTTATCGTAATTCAACCTTTCTTTAGCATTCCTCTAAATAGAAAATAATACATTACTTGCGGATAAGTAAACGCATCGTAAAAAAACACTTCTAAATAATTATAGACCGAATTAAATACACGCAGCTATAAATCCACTAAACATAAGTCACTTTTCCAAATTGCCACGTCAATAACGTTAGGTACTTTTTTTACAAAGAAATTAGTCTTTTAAAACTCTACCAGAGTTTAAATTTATGATGTATTTGCAGTCCCAGGGTCGATAGCTTCTTGACGGTCGCTGGTGTTTATGCGTATGTCCAGGTGTTAAGGGGTTGTCGCGCCGCCCACTCTGGTCTCTCACAGACAGATGAGATGCTAAGATGATTTTCCGTAAAGCTGATTTTCCGTATTGCCGTTGGACAACTGCTACGGTGATATCGCGCCAAAAGCGACCGTTCGCTAGCGCGGCGTAGTTGCAACAGGGCCCGTCAAAACGGAGAATATCCTACCCTCAAATCAGTGCTTTTTTTAGGGTAGGAATATAGAGAAATCTGACACTTCTATACCACGACGCGGAAACGATGCACACTTCTGGCGCCCGGGGTTCGGGCCAACACTAACAGCATCCTGAGCATGATAGCGAACAGGCTCGACCATCCGTACTCGAATCTTTGATTTTGATTCTATGATCCACTAACGTAAAAATAAGTAGTAGTGTAGTTTTTTTTATAATATCCAGGGACGGGACGAACAATTCGTGCGTCTGATGGTAAGCTACACGCCTGTCCATAAAAGTAACAGTGCCACTCGGAGCTTTAAATCACAAAGATCTGAGGGGCACTGCCACTGCGCCTGTAACCCTAAGACATAAGTTAACACGTCGCAAGTGCCTGTAATTCACCAGCATGAAATGTTTTAATCTTTTCTGTAGTTTTGTGTACATGAACCAACATTAGTATTAGGGGTTAAAGTATGAAATTGCCGTTTTATTGCAATAGGTTCTTTGAATTTTCATAGAATCTTCATGGTTTGAGGTTTTCGAATGAAACTTTTTTCAAATGGTTTCTGTGATTTTTTTTTCTTTTTTAATTTGAAACATTTGAATATCGACTTTCAATTGTTTTTGTTATTCAATTTAGACAAGAAAGATGGATACTGCGAAAATTTGAGTGATTTTTGAATACGAGTTCCGACGCGGAACTAACGCGGCAGAAACAGCCCGCAATATCAATGCTGCGTTTGGAGAGGGGTCTACTAATGAACGCACCGTGCGATTTTGGTTTAAACGCTTTCGTGATGGAAATTTCGACTTAAAGAACGAGTCACGAGGAAGACCGCCCACACAGGTGAATAACGATGAATTAAGATAGATAGTGGAAGCCGATCCTAGTCAAACTACCCAGGAATTAGCGGCATGGTTTAACGTTACCTTACCCACAATATTGACTCACTTGCGTCAAATCAATAAAATAAAAAAATACGAAAAATGGGTGCCTCATGATTTGACTGATTTGCAGAAAGAAACGCGTGTTGAAACTTGTGTTGCCTTGTTGAACCGGTACAGAAATGAAGGAATATTGGATCGAATTGTAACATGTGATGAAAAGTGGATTCTTTATGATAACCGGAAAAGAAAAATGCAATGGCTGACCCCAGGTCAAATGCCACAACAGTGTCCTAAAGCAAAACTTACCAATAAAAAGGTAATGGTAACTGTTTGGTGGTCTCAGCATGGTGTTATTCACTATAGTTTTCTCCGATCTGGTCAAGCAATAACGGCAGATGTCTATTGTGCCGAACTCCGAACCATGTTGACAAAACTAGCAGTAAAACAGCCCCGACTCATGAATCGATCTTCACCATTATTGCTCCACGACAACGCGAGACCTCACACAGCACGAGAAACCATTTTGACCCTTCAGGAACTGCAGTTAGAAACCATTCGTCATCCTCCGTATTCACCAGACCTTGCTCCAACGGACTACCATTTTTTTCGTGATTTGGACAATTATCTACGTGACAAGAAGTTTTCTTCCCAGGAGGCAGTACAAAATGCTTTCACACAGTTTGTGCAGTCTAGATCGTCGGAGTTCTATCGCAAAGGCATTAATAACCTTCCCATTAGATGGCAGCAATGTATAGATAATAATGGCAACTATATTGATTAAATAAATTTGTTAAAAATTTAAAAAATAAACAATTTAGATTTTCAGTACAAATCGGCAATTTCATACTTTAACCCCTATTATTTAAGTGTAACTACACCTACACTAAATAGGTCTATATTACCTTAATAAACGAAATGTTATAATTATTGTTTATTATATCAAGTTGACCATTTACATAATATCTAAATTAACTCTTTTTACTAATATGGTCATGTGTGATCTTTGAAGTAACGATGGTTAGTAACAATATTTGAAACAGTGAGAGGGTGGAAATTGCTGAAATCTTTAAATCTTACCTGGTATTTAAAGCAACCTGTGCCACATTAGCGTTTTCAAAGCACATAGCGGCAAGCAGGTCTAAAGCTGGTTGGGCCCTTTGCACCGGTGGCCCGCTGCCTCGTCCGGTTGAGATCAGGGCCGCTACAGCTGTGCATGCTCCTGCGGCACATAGCGCCTCTTGCTCGAGGGGGCCGCCACACCATATAGATAGTATCCTTACTACGCAAGACCGGGCTGTTGGTGAACCTTCACGGGCTATTTCTGTTTAAAAGGAACCATCAGTTAAGCGCACGCCCACTCTTTGTTGCAATACAGGTCCCATCATTGGGTGGCCAGTGACTATTCACGATTTCGCACGATCATCAAGAAATGTTGCCAATGACTGTTAAACAATAGTTGAATATGTATTTGGATTTAGATATAATGAGTACTATTTTTGGCAATGATAATGATAGATTTTCATCTTAATATACTAGACACAATATAAAAACTACTTCATACTTCTCAAGTTTATTATATATAATGGTATTGTCAGTGTACACATTGAAAAAAAATAAAAAAACAAATTTTAAACTGTAAGTGACAACGCAACGCATTTTTGCTCTTTGTAAATCTAATTTCTTAAGATAGTCAACTCATGCACTATTCCATATTATATATGATTATTAATGAAAATTATCAATGATCTTGGCATAACATGGTATTATTAGTGAATGTTGTATAAGATAACAATTATTATTATTATTATGTGTATAACTCCAAGATATCAAAGATATATAAGCCAAACTGATACTTACGTGTTAACCTACTAAGTAGTCTCATATCAGCTGGTAAAGACGAAATAGGTGCTGGCTGGTGCTGGAACACGCTACGTAGTGCGCATAGTCCTGCCTCTGCCAGTTTGGTGCCGATTGGCACAGATTTAAGGAGCTCCACGAGGGATGTGGCTGTGCCTTGCTCTACTAGTGATGCTACATTATCAGTTGTGCCTTTTGCTAGGGAACCTGGTTTTGGAAATAGGAAAAATTATTAATAAATATAAAAACAAATAAATAAATCATTTATTACATAAAATACACTTGGCTACAAATTCAAAGTCCGCCAAACTGCAGAGCAGTTTATTGGAGGAGACACACTCTCATCATAAGCAATAAACCTATTTATGCCTACCTTACCTATATACTATTACCAGCCCGTTGCATCAAGTACCAAGTACTATTACCTATATATGTCATAAAATGCACTCACATAGATATATCAGAATCAACAGTACAATAATAATAATAATCATTTATTTCGGAACTGGTCCATAATTTGTTAGTTAATTACAAAACGCTTAGGTCTAAGGGTTAGTTAATTGTACAGCGACACAAAAACAAAACAACATTTCTATTCTATACGACTGCATGTAGTCGCATCCAATGCGCGAGCATCGGCGAGTCCCAGCGTGCGGACAACGCGCTCAGGATGAGGTTGGGGCTGTCGCGCAGGCGGTGCAGCATCGAGGCGCACCTCTTGCGTATGATGGCTGCAAACCCGTCCGTGTGCGCCTCCGCGAACATACCCGAGGCGGTACAGAAGCGCGACAGCCCCAGCAACACCCGGAACGCGTTGTTGTATTGCATGCGCAGGCCGTTGTATGTCCCCCGCGTATAGTCGACCCACAGACTGCACGTGTAAAAAGATTGACAGTAGGCTTTAAAAAGCGTTATCTTTACTTGTTTTGTACGTCGTGCAAATCTGCGGGCCAACATATTGGCTCGAACAGCCAACGACCTGCGCTCCCTCTCGATGTCGACGTTGTCACAAAGGTCATCCGTGACCCAGTGACCCAAGTACTTAAACCTCGTAACCAAATTCAAACGAGCGCCATTAAGTGTTACATTAGGTACAATAGAGTAAGACTTAGTACTTGCCTTAAAGATCATCAGCTGGCTCTTCGTAACATTGTACTTGAGTCCGTGGGTCACAGCGTATGACTCACAAACTTGCAACATAGACATAAGTCCTCTAATCGAAGGGCTGAGCAGCACCATGTCGTCCGCGTAACTGATGTTATTAACACAAACTCCGTCAATATGACATCCGACATTAGTGCTGCTCAGCTCATCAATGAGTCTATTAATATGTAGGTTGAAAAGTTTGGGCGAGGTGAGCCCCCCCTGCCTCACCCCACATTCCAATCTATAACTGTCCGAAGTAGCACTTCCCCATCTGATACAGTTGCTTTGATTAGTATACCAATACCTAAACAAGGAGATTATTTCACGTGGCAAACTGGTCCCATTATACAATTTGTCCCATAAGACATCATATGACACTAGGTCAAAGGCCTTTGAGAGGTCCAAGTAGCATGCGTAAACTGGTGTCTTTCTCGCAGTGTAATACTGTACAATGCAATACAATGCCTAGTCTACTAGCTTTTTAAAAGTTAATTTAGATAAATTATTTTCATCAACATTCAGAACATTATATGTATATGACAAGTATTAAATAATTTGTAGTTCTTTGACGAAAGTAATTTATAGTTCTAGATACAACATTGTTGGCTTATTGCAAGAAGTCACCAACTGCCATGTATATTATAGACAATTAATGGCTTCTTGCAATAAGTCCACATTACATTCTTTATTGTTAACAGATGTAGTGGTGGTAGAGTCAACCGTGACCATGGGACCTGTAAAGGGCCCGAAACGTCGGTTTGTTTGAAAAAACAAATATACGCGATTTAAATCCGGAAAAATAGTTTCATTTCCTATGTGTAACAATCGCGAAAACCTAAGAACTCGAGATGTAGTGGTATAAGAATGTTCAGCACAATTCTTAAACTCATCCCTTCTGTATTCTTCCAAAGGTAATAATAGTTCAATTTTTTCTTGAACAGGCAATACATTACAAATTGAAAATAATTTCACATAGTTTTTTGTCACATTTTTCCTTTACATTTTTATCCACCAACAATTTTAGTTACCTTATTCATAGAGTCCTATGTGCTTGTAATAAGTTCGTTAATTATTGTTTGTGTAGCTTATTAACTGTGAAGAACTAAGAATAAAAGCTAAGAGAATGAATGAACTATAGCATTTTCTAGGCGTCATTGTCTTAACCTCCTCTGGCTGATGCTTACTCAGAGTCAGCAGATGAGGTAGCAAAAGCTGGATCGAAAAAGCCCTTTAAACCCTTTAGTGGGATTCCATATAGTCTGGCTAAGCTCATCTCAATCGGGACAAATATTTATATGCATCACATCATGTTAGATTTGGTTAGAAGCCTGTGATCTAGTTACCAGATACTAAAGAAAGGCTCAGGCTTTGAGTACAAGCTGACTAGGAATCTCATAGGACCCTGCGATTTGAATAAGCTATGTCTAACCTCGCTTTTTCTAACTGCCTTAATTAGATTTCATGTTGATAAGTGTGGTAATTGCTGGTCACAGTAATGAAGGACATGTGCAGGCGCTGAAATAGGTACCCTGATGATAATAATAATAACAATATGCACATGTTAGAGGGCAATATTGTCTTAATCCCCGGTGCGTCCTACAGACCTATACAGGTTTAGAACCACTAATGTCATATAGACCCATGGTACAGGGTGAGGGCGGTGATTGGAACATTATTTTTGCTAATTTTAGATTTTGTACGCTTGTAAAATTTATTTTAGCAAAAAGTTACTAAACTAATGAGTATTTTCCATGAATACACAAATATACATATACATATATACGTATATAATATTATGGTATTATTTCATAATATGATAGTGTAAGTTTTTAATCATGCATTTAAATTTTTAATTCTGGCACGCTACACACGCTCTCCCTCCCGGTTCAGTTCCGTTCTGCCTCAAAGGTTGTCAGGAAGAGATCGCTCTCAGCAATAAGGCAGCCTTTGCCCACATTAATTCTAATTCTAATTTCTAATTCATTTTTTGTGTGTGTGCAATAAAGTCTATCTATCTAATGAGAATTTTGTTTTCCTTCTTTCAAGGGCAGACATATTACGAGACGTATTAAGGAAGCAGAGGCATCTTTTCTACTCTAAGGCATTCTGTTGAACATAGTTTATTCAAATCACAATGTCCCACAGATCCCTTAGTCAGCATTACCAGTACATAACTCCTTCCCATTGTCTGAGGTTCTCCACAATTTTTAATGCTGTAAACATTTATGTTTTGTTACCTTAGAAACTCTGGTGTAGTGAAATACATGGACTTTGGCCTAGCGTATTTTGTGTGATTTGCTGTCATGTTCATTGGAACATAGTATTTATTTTAATAATACCAATGCTCACATTATTGCTTGGCAGCAGGAATAATAGGTAAGGTGGTACTTCTATTTACTTACATACAATTTATGAGTAAATGTAAAAGAGTTTATGCTGATTATCAAAACTACAGTTTTCTGCACTAAAATAGTAATAATGCACACACTCAATATAAACCCTCACTAGGGAAACCCTGTGTCGTGGGTGCCATGGACACACACATACACAACCACAAATTACACCCAAACTCACAAGAGAAATAAATGTAGGCCATAAAAATATTTCTACTGGCCCGGGTACCGAGCCTGGGACATTCTCAAATGCCACGCGGCAATCGAGAAGATTTAGCTGCGAGAAGATTTCACTAAATATAACTTTGATCACTTCATATCATATTGTATTAATATCAAATAATTATTATTATTTTCTGGACAAAAGTCTGTTTTCATTTTATTGTTGTTGTCTACCCAACTACTTTTTGATTACTTTCATTAAACCCATAAACCCAAAGACTTGGCAATCAAGGGAAATGTAATAAAAAGACTCGAGTAAAATTAATGTCTTACCAATAGTTATAGTAGCTTCCAGTCTGATATTAGGATCGAGCGTGTCGTCGGACATCAACTGCAATAGTCGCGGCACAATGCCTTGTTCTATCACGGAGGTCTTCTGTCGATTACTACCGATTACTGAGTTCTTTAACGTTATCAGTGCTTCCACTACCTTCGCCGTATCCGACGAATACAACTCGTCTACGTAGGACCGTGAACTCTCTATATCCTAACACGAAAAACGACAAAATCATTACCACTAAAACTTTGTAGGTTATCTCCTATGTATGCTCCACAACATTCCTTGTTTTATATCACTATTGGGTCTTCATCAACTCACCATAAATATTGTTAACTGCTGCATGATTTATTTATAAGTTTTACGCAGTATTAATGATAAAAATATAGTAAGGAATCCTCTTCGAGGCCGATTTTTGCTGTCAAAGCATCACCTGTCACTTACTATTATAGTGATGCACGCAGTCGATCAATTCAAGTGAAAAACCGAAAAAATGTTGTATTTATTGGTGAAGACCATAGACTACTCGCTATCGATAGTCCTATCGCACTCACACTTAGAATAAAATTGATAAAGCTATCCTGCTGTCAATCAAACCAAGAAGTGTGCGAGTGACATATTTTTCAACAAACTAGTTTCGGGGTATCTGAATTTCAATTTCTTATATTTGTTGTTGTGATTTGTAATATTGAAATTGGGAACATTTACACGAGTTCCGTGTTTGGTATGTCATTATTTTGATATTCTAATAAACCGTAAGACTATGGCGGATTCCGGAGTCGATACAAGTAATGAAAGCAGCGATAACCCACTGTTCGAGCAGTGCGTGCTTGAGTTCAATCCTCCTGCTATTCCGATAAATGAGAACGGTCAGGCCATGCCCATTGACTTTCTCGAAGAACCTCACGATCATGTGGGAAAAATAAAATGTGCAACAAAGGCGAGACACTGTCGACTGAAGTATCGCTACCGCGGTGTGCTTTGCGCGTCTAGATTTAATCAAAAGTTGCGGTTAGCCGCTTCCACGAATAACACAGAGCTTGTACAGAGACTACTGATGGCGGGTGCTGATCCAAACTCATCAGATGAACATAAACGAAGCCCCTTGCACTTGGCAGCATGCCGTGGCTATGTGGATGTGGTGAGGACTCTCCTCAGACATGGTGCCAATCCAAACATAAAGGATACCCTTGGCAACACTCCACTGCATCTTGCTGCATGTACAAACCATATTCCTGTGGTCATTGAACTTTTAGATGCAGGCACTGACGTCAGTTCACATGACAAAAATGGACGTAACCCCATACAGTTGGCACAGAGTAAATTGAAACTGATTCAGATGCGCCCGAGTGGAGCTGGTCACTTTGAAGAAACGAAGCAGCTGATAACAGAAATATGCTTAGTTGTGGAAATGATGTTGAAGTACATGAAAATACAAAAAGCTGATGCGGGAGAATTGGAGTCCGTCCGCAAAAGGTTAGAAGGCATCAGTACTCGTGAGCAAGTTGACTCAGAAGTACAAAACTTGCTTGATAGTCTCGACTCACTAAAATTAAGATAACTTATTTTTCACATGGAAAATATTTTGAAGACTGTTTATTAAAGAAACTGCCTATGTATAAGAGCTCACAGTTTATAAAAGTATGTAGTGGAATCATTTGTGGTATGCATTTTTCTAAACTTACACTAATTTCTCTGCTCTTATCGGCAACTGTTTCACCATTTTATTATGACACCCTAAAGTTATGCTTGAATAGACTAACTTGTTGCAATAATCTAATAAGTGCAATTAGCATATGGCTGAATACAAGACCACTTCTGTCACCCTAGCTTTTCCAGGTCTAGTTGCAAAAAACTGCCAAAGATCTGACGACAATTTAATATACAAGCCACTCCGCTGTATGTTCATGCTTTGGAATTTCAAAAGTTTTTGAGTAATTATCTCTCTAGCCCTCAAACAGAATATAAATCGTGGCTGGATGTTACTTTAATTTACTATTAGTTGAAATTGAAATGCACAACTCTTTTTACCCATCATGTTATTTTTAAGTTAATAAATTTTGTACTACAATATCTAAAACAATGTTAGGTTAGGGCATGTGCATCTGACAATTGGTGTTTACTATAATTTAAAATTGACAAATCTTTTACTTATTTTTCTTTTAATAAGCATCTCAGATTTGTTTCCCTCTTAGAATTAAGGATAGTTAAATATTTTCTACCATCATTTTAATTGATTTGTAAATCAACACTGACTTTCCATCTATATTGCTTAAATTAGTTTTTTTTTTCAATTTAATCATCTGATAATATTACATAAGATATACCTATACACAAATTAAAAGTAATAATTTACTTTACATTACAATTAATATTATATGTAACTATTTTAGTTAGTTTTTAAATAAATTTAAGTATTATATTTATAATATACCTGTAAATAAACTTTTTTGATTATTAAAAACACTTTTATTTTCATAATAAGACATCCAAAAGAATTTGTACAATAATTTTATTGACAACAGTTTCATAAACTTGACACTTGAATAACTTTTTATTACAAATTAATTTAGATTTAAAATGTATTTAGACATTATTTTTTTATTCTAACTATATGTTTAAAACAGCCGAATTGGCATTACAACCAGGAATGCAAAACTCATCTATTCATGGTTTGATAGAGCAAACCAACTACAATGTTGTGCAAAGAACATGCTAACTTTGCTTCCAATATCGTAATAAATTGTGTGTGTAAAGTAGAAGAATTACAAAAGAGGATTAAAACGTATTCAAAACTTATATTGTTATACTTAATAGCACTAAAATTGGATTTTAATTTTATCATACATAGAATGTAGGTATAATTTCAAATATAATATGATATAAATTGATATTTTGTACAAGTTTATGCTGTACTTATAGGGGTTTTAATATATTACTTTTATTCAACATTTTGGACTTGCATAAAACAATATGGCAGAATTTAATATTATCACAGAAAGATTTAAATTAATAGTTAACATTACCTTAATACTGTAAACTACATTACTTATTAAGTAGTACTATGTAATTCCATGGATAGCCCCAATACCCACTTAAATTATTACATGTTTATTGCAGTCTCACACCAAAATACTAAGCATAAAAATTACTAGTAAAAATTGCATTAGGCAAGTGAATGTTCCATTTATACATAATAAATAATAGCCACATGAGGAACGCGAGCTAACGTTGCGTAAACATAGCAAATTAACTGCAATATTTCACATAACATACCATTACAAACCATAAGAATATAACATTTTTTTCATTTTTCTAGTGGTAGTTTCGTGTTGGGACAACAAGTCTTTTGTTTAGGATGTTAAATAGATAAGTATTTGTATTTGATATTCGATCAAAACTATTAAAAACAGACCAAAGGTGCGTTACTGTAGAGCCGAAGAATTCAAGGAAGAAACGTCAGGACAAGTGAAAGAAATAATCAAATTACCAAAACCGAAAATTACAGTTGAAGGACTTTTAGAATCAACCACCAATCATTTATTACTGTACAAACGATCTTTTGAGCAATATTATCGTAATATTATTCAATTCCTTGACGCAATAGCAGAGGTATGTTTAATCAAATTTAGAGTGCAGCAATCAAATTTTGGCACTTGCTTTTCAGATGTCTGAAAGTTTTGACTAGTAACTACTAAACATACATAAATTTTAGCAAGTAAAAGCTATCTTTATTATTTGCATTTATCACACATTTTAAACAATACGTAAATAAAACCATTATATAAAAAAAACCAGATTAAAATATATAAAACTAAATCACAATATTCTTGGAATGGAATGATTAATAACTTCCGTTTCTATTTTCATGTAAATTTTGGCTAATCTCTCCTTTCTGGCACAACCAACACATATTTCGTTATTGCACTTCTGTCGGCTCAGTTAAGTATCAGGTAACTTAATCAGTCGTTGGAAAACAAACTAATCCTTTCTTAAATTAAGACACAATGTTATTTCGTATCGGGCACTAAAACATTAACTAGGTTAGGGAATATTTCCCCTTGAATAGGCCCGTATTCTACCTGTTCACCATCCACTGTAATGTGCCCATTAGAACCTTCTGGGACTATTCTAAATGCACTCACGGGGATCATTTTCACATATTCGTTATTGGCTTCAGCGTGCAACCCTTCACTGATGCCCAAAAAAAAGGAAAACAATTGAGATCTCGATATTCCCGCTTTGATTATAAGCATCCAAATGATACCGTCTGAGAGCTGTGATCTAGGGGCGAACAAAAAGTCCTCTCCAATGTAAGCCTGATATGCAATATGGACCATAACAAACTCTCCTTCTTCGTGTTCCCAATGCGAGGGTAACTGTGACATGAGTGAGGGTAAATGCGGAGCCGGACCATGCATGCACGCGTGAACCGGGGACCGCATCTCGGAGCCAGCGCTAGTTACGCTGTGGTACTCGGACCCTCGTGTACTGTAAAATGCGCTTCGTCGCGAATTAACTGAGTACCACGAATCGACCCTCTGATGATGTTTACTGTTCGCTGCACTAGTAAATATTTCCGAAGGATCGTCACAGTCAATAAACGCTTCCGCATCGGGGGAGTCGAGTGCGCCGTCATGGCTTACGCTGTGGCTCAGAGTGTACGCTTGTTTTGGCTTGGGAAGATTGCTCACATCCTTAATTTTCACGTAACTCACTACACCTTTGTATTTCCGTAGGCCGACTAACCTTGCCACCGCCCAAAGGGCGAATCTCTGTCCACCAATGGCTCGTAACCTCTCGCTCTCAATATCAATGTCCGATAGTAGACCCCAACCGACTGATAAAAACGAAAACATAATCTGAAAAGAAGAAACAACAAATTGTCAAAAAGAGAAAATATTATTCAACTTATAATGATAAATTGATTAAAATTGTTTTGCAAAAATAACTGGGCATGTTTATATGCCAGCTTATCTAATTAAGTGGATTTGACGCAGTTCATAAAGAGCATTAACAAAAACAATACTATTATTTTTTGTGCTTAGAACATAATGAAGCAATTTAACGAGTATGTTACAGCACTATTCTCATTTTTTTTAAATCTGAGGTAAGTATCAATTCACAACGTGTATCAGTCGTGCTCAGTTTAATTACTTAATTTTACTTGACGTCATGTATTAAAATTATACATCTTATGTCGACATAAGGATGCATCGGTATCATAGTTAACGAGAAGCAAATAAACTTTTCATCATAAACAGGTTGTTATTGTAACAGTATTAGATACTTTGTAATCTGATTTACGTAAGAGAGTTGAATGAAACGCACGTCGCGTAATGATGCCCAACACAATACATGATAAGTGAATCGCTATATAATGCAATCAACAAGTTCCGCGAACCTTGTTTGTAGAGATGGGAAAAGCTGCTTATTTTTTAAACGTTTAAACGTTATGCTTTTTTAAACGCTTTTTAGTTTGAAGCTAACAAAATCGTTTAGAAAACGTTTAAGCGCATAGACTTTTACCTTAAAAAAGCTTGCAACGTTGTGTTGATAGCGAAAAGCAAAAGTAGACCACTAAAGGTTTTATGATAAGTAAGTTTTTTTTGTGAAAAACAAGTTATATTTTTATTTATGACTTAACATTTTTATATTAACATTTTGTTAATTGGCGTTTAAAAGCATTCAAAAGCATAAGTTGTTTAACTTTGTAGTTGTTACCCGTTGAAACGAAAAAAAACTGCTTATTTTTTTAACGTTAAAACTTACGTTTAAAAAGCGTACTTGTAAAACCGCTTTTCACACGCTTTTTAGTTTAACGCTTAAAAAGTCGTTTAGAAAAAAGCGCAACCAACGCTTACGCTTAAAATGAAAAGCGTGCTTATGCGCTCATTTCAAAAAGCAGACTTTTTAAGTGCTTTTCGTTTAAATGCAAACCTCTACTTGTTTGTACGGTCCCAGACAATTGCTCAGTGTTACCATTATCTTTATTGTAGCTTGAGCTTAAAATTAGGTGTTTTGCTTAATTTCAACATTTTTCATTTCCTCTGCTATTTATTTCTCTATATGCATATATGAAAGCAAAGAGTACAAAATTTAAAACAATTGATCAGAATATAACTAAACATTACAGTGTGTTAAGATAAAATAAAGGTTTTCAATACTAGAACTAGGTACAACATGAAAAGGCTGCGTTTCACCTTTATAATATGGCTATACTAATCGTCGGTGATTGTAGCTGCCAGCTGGCCAGCCGACATCATATATTTTTTTATCATTTTCATAAAAACAAAAGGGCATCTCCCTACGTACTTAGGATACGAGTAATTAACCTCAACTCAATCAAGATCCTCGTACACTGGTCAGCTGTGAATGCTAGGTGGGATGGAACGAATACCTATGCTAGTATTTTTCCTACGGTAATGGCTCATGGTACATGTCTTAGAATAATAATAACGTCAACGCAAGCCAATATTTGATTTATGTATTATTGCAACTGTTTTGTGTTTGTAATACGCGTATACATCGTCCCTGACCAACTACCGTAACTGATATTATGCAAATTTTTAAGAGCAAACTATTTTCGTTAGAATATCGTTTTGTCGTGAAGTTATATTCACATATACTTTTGTATTGTACTAAGTGTTGTTTGTATAATACTAAGTGACGGGACGAACAAGTCGTGCACCTGGTGGTACGACACGCCTGTCCATAATAGTTGCAGTACCACTCAAACCTTTAAATCACAATGATTTGAGGGTCACTGCTACTGCGAACGACACCCTGTCAACTTATGTCTCAGGAGACTTAAATTGACAAGTCCAATGTGCCTGAAATTTCACCAGCACCATTACCCTTCGAAACCTTTTTTTTTATAATAGCAAGTGGCGGGACGAAAAACTCGTGCGCTTAGTGGTAAGCGACACACCTATGCCATAACAGTTGCAGTGCCGTTCAGAGCTTTAAATCGCAAAGACCTTATGGACACTGCCAGTGCGTCCGTGACCCTGAGACGCAAGTTGACAAGTTCCATATGCCTGTAATTTCACCAGTATCCTTACTCTTCTAAACCGGAAAGCAGTAATGCTGAAATTACTGTTTGGCGGCAGAAATATGACAAATGTGAAATGTCTGTATACCATAAATTAATTATATCCGTTGAGCGTTATATCAACCAAACACATGTCATTTATTGTTAAAGCTTACGAACCGCACCTCCTAATAATATAGTCCAGCGAGGTTGTTAGTATTTTTTCAATAACCCTATACAAAAAAGAACGTCTTAATGTCACGACTAAAACGTCTGATACGACATTTAATGACGGACGACAGGTGCCACACAATCTCAAAATCCTGAAATTTAGGAGACCAGCTAGACTTTAAACAACTATAATTTCTTATCAACGACAATTGCAATGGTTTTCCATTCGATTACCTATTTTAATTAATTACTTACGCTTGGAAAACTTGGATAAAAACGTAACAAAACAAATGTAATAAAAGTATTTTTGTGAAACATAAATACAAAAAATAAGGAATAGAAATAGCATGATAATTTATGAAATTACTTCTTGGGCAAGAGAATACACTTAAGGACGAAAATTACTGCAATCAAATGATAACGGTTATTATACTTCAAAGGCTATGTTATTAAAACATGTACTCACCTTAGATTTAGTCTCTATTCTGACGACATCAATTGGTGTCGATTTCCCCCTACATAGTGCCATGGTTAATCCAGTCAGGTTTTGTGGGATATATGGTTCACTGAAACAAAAAAACCACTAACATTGGAAGTTGGAAAAGAATACAATAGCAGTCTATGTTTTTATTGACCTCATAGCCTCTTTTTTCACATAGCTTCTAGATTTGATTAATCACAGGTCAAGTTCATTATTAATTCTCGGTAGTTTAGTATTTTCTATCACTTTATCGAGTCCGATAAGTCGATATCGAAATCAATCTATTGCACAAATTAAGTTTTAAATTAAATTACGATTTCACATAATAATACATTCTACGTTGTTTCACAGCATGACAAATACCATTGAAATTAAAAACAAGTATAACTAATAACTTATCAGGTAAACCAAGGCTAACTGATTCGTTTAGCTGCGTTTCCTACGAATAATGCTCATGAGTTGAATGATTTATTTCTTCAATCTTACCGCAATAAAAATACAGAACCTGAAGCGCGTGTTGTTCGCTGTTAGCTTGTTTCGTTCATTTGTATAATTAGCCAGCGAGTTCTCATTGCTATATCGACCTTACCGTCCGTATAAATGCTAAAAACGAAGTCTTTCAACGAGTTGCAAAACAAATATTTGTAATAACTATAACCATTCTTCATTTCTATACAAACATAATAGTTGTACATATATTCAAGTTATAAGTACATAGGTAATTTAATACATTATGTTTTCAAGAGACTGAAACGAAGTTTGACACTTTTGAACGTTCTTAGAGCGGTTACACAAGGCGACTTTTAGCAGCGAAGCAAACGCGCTTTCTTGAAACGCGCAATTGCATCGCTACACTTGCGATTTATAGGCGAGTGCATGGACGCAATCGCCTATAAATCCCAAGTTTAGCAATGCAATCGCGCGTTTGTATCGATGCAGTCGCGCGTTTGCATCGCTGCTTAAAATCTCGCGCGTGTGTAAAGAAGATAAACGATTAGCGACTGCATCGCTACTGCATCGCGTTTGGATCGCTGCTAAACGTCGCCATGTGTAACCGCTCTTACAGTAAGCACACTTGAATTTAAATCATAGGCGTCAAACTTGACGTCCTGTTAACCCTGTACGTAAGTAAACAAAAACTTGTTTTAATAGGTGACAGAATTATCTTGCTAAGTACCTATGATGAGTACAGCTCATTTGATTGAATGTTTTAGAAGTCAGATTTCAAACATAAATAATAATAATAAAACCGAAGCAGATATCGAAGTTAGAATTTTAAATGTATGTACCAAACCACATTTTGTTCTTTTATGTGCAAAATAACTGTAATAAGTACTTTATCAAAGAAAATCTGAACACGACAAATGTTATTATTGGAGCAATAAACTTAATGCACATTTGTTCAACAGGTTGTTGTAAGCAAAATGCTGTTTTGTGTCTTCGAACAAATAAGAAATATAAAAAACGTGCACGTCATATTGACGCGCGTGCCGTAGAAATCCGAGAACAAAAAGCAGTTTGGAAAAACCGACAATTAATAATTTGCAAGATACGGTCTTATACTCCCTTAAAAGGACTGTTACTTATATTTTTCTATTTTCCATCTGAACTTTATTAACCGACTTTAAGAAAAGGAGGAGGTTCTCAATTAGTCTGTATGTTTTTTTTTTTTGTATGTACGTTACGCGATAACTCCGCCGTTTGTGACCCAATTTTGATGATTCTTTTTTTGTTCCATTGTGGTTCCATTTAAATTTCAAGGAAATATTTTACCTCTAAGGGTGGCAAACTAGGGGATGAATAACTTTTGAGGTTGGTTTTTTTAACCGGAGGTAAGGTTATTCAACTATAATTTGTGAGGGGCTGAGTATGATCATGAAGACATGATGTTTCTAGTTTTCTATTCTCATTATCTATTAAATTATTTTATTAACACTGAAGTAAAGTTTTAATGTAAGTACCTATATAAAACAAAATTTTAAGAAACGGCAAGTAATAAAGAAAGACAATCAACTTCTTTTAGTCGGGGACAACTACCTTTAAACTTTTTTATGAGTAATGTTGTTTATTGATCGTAGTCTATAAAATTCACGAATATGGTAGCAATGCCGGAAGTGTGGCTTCGCGAACAGTTTACGTAACGTAAACACAGTACACAAATGGAGTATCGATTTTTAGCGAAAGTGTCCATTATATCCATTTTCTACGGCTTTCATTTACCTTCTTGACATCAGCCAATGACTAGATATTACGATGTTTTTATTTCTAATGCTTTTTATTTAGAATACAATAGAAGACATTTATTTCACATTGTCACAGACATTTTTTATGACAATATTAAGTTTCATATTACAATGTGCTCCGTGAATATGTATAGAAAAGTAAAATGACAATGGGTAAATCAAATGAAATTCAAAAATATAAATACAATGTGACAAAAAATAATTCAACTATGAGTAAGTATATTTAAAATCAAAGGATTTCGCACATGTATTCTTGGTACTTTTACGTAGAGAAGGTTTGTCGGGAGCGTAAGATTAATTTTTCTGCATCTTCAGTTATGTCAATTCTGTAATTTTTTTAAATGAGTGGGTACGTTGCTTGTTATACGAGTGACTATGTCGTACCAATAATGCTCTGATTTTTTTAAGGCAAGTTCGTTTCGGAGCGAAACACATTTATTTAAAGAGTCTATACCACCTATAATGGCTTTGGTTGATTCTGCATAGCATTGAAAGAGTTGAATCAATCACACTGGAAAAAAATAAGTACCTAGTAAAATTGAGGATGTACACAGATTACTATACGGTGTGAAAATAAAATTCCTAAAAATTTTCACGATACAAAAAAACACAAACTTACCTCGAAATTGTACAAGAAAATCCGCTGTATTCAATAGCTACTTTACATATACCAATGTTTTTTATATCAACTGAACTAAAAAGAACACGTATAGGTACTATACGATAATACATTTTTCAAATTGCTTTAACTTCGTTTGTAAAAAAAATAAATTTTGAAATAAAGCGGGTGTTCCTGCCCTCACGAGGCAAGCAAAATGAACCGTATTAGTTCGGAAAAAAATTTAATTCAAGCTGAGGTAGTATAGACTCTTAAGCCTTTCTGCGTTGCGTAGCCGTTGCCCGTGTGACGACTAGAAGTAATGTTTTTACACATATTTAATAACTTCAAACATGTAGTCGAGCAGTGTCTTTAGTTGACGTAAAATTATCTACAACTCTGCCTCGTACAGTATAGGAGTCTGCGGCGCGCTTCGGCACAAAAACCTTGTTGCGAGTCGTTCCAGTTACATCACAGCATTATCCCTTATGAGATAAAGGAATTAGCGACGTATCAGCCTTAATACACAGATAACAATGGCGTTTACTTATGTACCATGAGTACTGTGTTTCATGTTCCTATCGAATACATCATATCGCCTGGTTGCGCTCTGTTATGGTCGCAAAAATACCTTTTGTATTTATCGCTACGCTTGTGAGTATAGTGTTGATTATTTGTTAGTAGCACTTGCTCTTTCCATAGGCTTAATACCTATCAGTGGCTAGGTTGCTAGTTTCGCGATGACTCATTCATAATACTGACCGATATTATTGATTAAATATTTTTACAACATTGGGGACGCTAGTAGTGGGCATGTAAATATCTTTTTAAGACTTATCTCTAAAATGGAAAACACTTGGATTTTGGGCGAACACAAATTATCTTATAAACACAGCGTTAATTCATATAACTAAAATATCTGGTACCATAAGCCAATACGTCGATAGACCATATCGTAGAAAACTAGGGTTTACGTTGTGAGGAGGATGTTACGGCACGCGTAACTGGCAATATGAAATCAGAGGAATAGGGTCATGTGAGTGTTGATTTAACCAACTAATCGCTTTTGTGACATCACTATGTAAAGGTAATTTAGACACTAATGTAAATATCGATTATTGCGACAAAATACACCCCCGCTGTAATTGAGTTATACCTAGTTTCGTCATACGTAATTTTTCGAGAAGAAGATAAAAGTGTGGTGTCAAATAGGCTAAACATAATAATTATGTTTTTAGTTAACATTTTAATTAGCTACATTATATCTTTTTTGGATGCTATATTACTTTAATCATATTTAACCAAGAGCATGTAAAAATGCGTAACTTAGTTTTCACTCTTAAGGCGATGGTACACCTTTATTGGTAATATTTGTTTTAAACCGGTATAGATTATTCCCATAGCCCACATAGATCATTCACTGCGTTTAATAAGAATTTTTTGTGGGTGTTAATCTTCTATGAATGTACGAGACGTCGATTGCAGACGCAACGCGGCTTGATTAAATTAGAAGAACGTTTAAAGCGCGTTTGAATCAATTCAATTTACTGATTTAATTAGTTAGTTTGTCCGTCGACTACGGCGTGCGTTTTACCGTTTTTAAATAGGAAAATGTACCTATATTTAAAAGTGTCAAATGGCAAAATCGGGAAGCGGACAACATTTCAAAGAATATTAAACTTTAACCATAATTGATTTATACAGCCAAGAAAAATACTATTTTAAGTCAATAAATATTTTGAAGTATCTAAAATTATGTTTAAACGTGCTTAAAAATAAATTGCCGCGCAAACGACACTACTTATCAACTCAGAAAGCGTGACGTAATTGGTAGGTAAACAACAATAATATTGGGATATTATTTGATCCTCAAAGAAATTATTATTATTGATCTATTGTAAATGTGTACTTTTTTAAATAAACGATATTTTTAATGTTGATATATATATATATTAATTGTTCCAACTATATTAGTTAATCTACGGATGAATTATAAATGAACTGCATTCAATGTAACATTATTATTAAATTTAAGCATACTAAATTAATACCTAGGGTCGTATTCTAGAACTCTACCCAATGCTCAAGTTAGGACTTGAGTATGATTCAAAGCACTAGAAATCACACTCAAGTCCTTGCCATTAGGGTCGTATTTCCAGTGCTTGAAATCATACTCAAGTCTGCTCAAATCCTGACTTGAGCATTGAGTACAGTTCTGGAATACGACCCTTAGTATTCAAAAAT